CCCCGAACCAACCCCTAAATGGCTGAGTCAAGTAATGATGTAAGTAGAATGACCCCTCCCCCCCCAAACAAACCCTAAATGGCTGAGTCAAGGAATGATGTAAGTAGAATGACCCCTCCCCCCAAACAAACCCTAAATGGCTGCGTCAAGTAATGATGTAAGTAGAATGACCCCGCCCCCCCAACCAAACCCTAAATGGCTGAGTCAAGTAATGATGTAAGTAGAATGATCCCTCCGCCCCACCAAACCCTAAATGGCTGAGTCAAGGAATGGTGTAAGTAGAATGACCCCTCCCCCCAACCAAACCCTAAATGGCTGAGTCAAGTAATGATGTAAGTAGAATGACCCCTCCCCCCCAAACAAACCCTAAATGGCCGAGTCAAGTAATGATGTAAGTAGAATGACCCCTCCCCCCCAAACAAACCCTAAATGGCTGAGTCAAGGAATGATGTAAGTAGAATGACCCCTCCCCCCCAACCAAACCCTAAATTGTTGAGTCAAGTAATGATGTAAGTAGAATGATCCCTCTCCCCCGAACCAAACCCCAAATGGCTGAGTCAAGTAATGATCTAAGTAGAATGACCCCTCCCTCCCAACCAAACCCTAAATGGCTGAGTCAAGTAATGATGTAAGTAGAATGACCCCTCCCCCCCGAACCAAACCCCAAATGGCTGAGTCAAGTAATGATCTAAGTAGAATGCTCCCTCCCTCCCAACCAAACCCTAAATGGCTGAGTCAAGTAATGATGTAAGTAGAATGACCCCTCCCCCCCGAACCAAACCCTAAATGGCTGAGTCAAGTAATGGTGTAAGTAGAATGACCCCTCCCCCCCGAACCAACCCCTAATGGGCTCAATCAAGCTGATGTAAGTAGAATGTAGTCCCTTGCGCGCCTCAAGCAACCCTAATGCCGGTCAAGGTAAAATGATGTAAGTAGTACTGACCCCTATATGACCCCTCCCCCCCGAACCAAACCCCAAATGGCTGAGTCAAGTAATGATCTAAGTAGAATGCTCCCTCCCTCCCAACCAAACCCTAAATGGCTGAGTCAAGTAATGATGTAAGTAGAATGACCCCTCCCCCCCGAACCAAACCCTAAATGGCTGAGTCAAGTAATGGTGTAAGTAGAATGACCCCTCCCCCCCGAACCATAACCTAAATGGCTGAGTCAAGTAATGATGATAAGAACGATGTTTGCCGTGTTGCCCAAAGTGATGAAATCCGTGTTGCCCAAAGTGAGCGTCCAAAGTGTGAGGAGTGTGTGATTTCTGGATGTTGCCTGAAGTGATGCGTTTGGTGTTGCCCTAAGTGATGCGGGTGCCTTCGTGGTTGTTGTGGCTCTGGGCTTGCTATTAAGGGACTTAGCCGTGCCGGACAGGAGTTCTACACAGATGCGCAATATGGTGCCGACTTTGGGTACTACTCCACAGGCAGAATTCTTCACCAACCATCTGCCCAGGACATGGTCTGGGAGGTCGCGCAGCATGACATGCAAGCCGCTTCAGCATCTTGAAATGGCATATCCCAAACTTGAGCCACGACTGCCATTGGCACAGATTAGGGAATTTAATGGCCCAGAAGTCCAAGTGTTTTTCTGCTTATTTAGACACACCAGAACCCTCAAATGCACCAGTCCACAATGTTGTGGCCATATATTTGCGGCTGTGAATCGATTGGTGGCTTTCTTTGTGGTTCTCGGTGAATCTTGCCCTGAGAAAGAGGGTAATGAGAGACACAGCATGGCAGGATCCATCTGGATCTACGTACTTCAACTCATACACCACCCAGCCAATGCTTTGAACCTCAGAACGGAAACCAGAGAGTCAGGAAGCATCATCGAAGGAAGTTTAGAAGTCAAACTTCCGACACTATGGACAGATGAAAAGCAGAGCAGGGAAGAGGCAGAGGGAAGAGAAAGATAAGAAGAAAGAAGAGTAAGAAGAAAGAAGATGCAGATGCGTGAAAAGGTAGGAAAGTCGCAAAACACTGGGCTCCGGAGGGTCGAAAAGTAGGCTCGCTAAAGCGGCGGGTGCGGAGCCAGCTGGCCAGATGAGAGATGAACAATTGCATGCCGTTGTGGCGCGAAGCACATTTGCAAGTCAAAATGTACAAAGCACGTGGTGCTCGGAGCACTTTTGGAAGTTGAGATGTCGAAAAAGTGCATGCCGTTGTGGCGCGAAGCACATTTCCAAGTCAAATGTACAAAACACACCATTCTCGGACCACTTTTGGAAGTTCAGATGTCGAAAAAGTGCACGCCGTTGTGGCGCGAAGCATATTTCCAAGTCAAACGCGCAAAAAACTGACGGGTACGGAGCACTTTTGGATGTTCAGATGTGCTTTCGCGTTGCAGGCGCAAGGGATTGTGCACCTTGGCAAAAGTGAGCAAAACGTGAGGGTTTTGTAGCATTTCCAAAAACGCTGGCTGGCAGGCGTGGGACATTTGAAGAGGATCTTCAAAGATGCATTTCGCGTGGCAGGCGCAGTACAAAAGACATGTTCATCAGAGATGTTAGGAGGTCAGGGCGCTGATTTCCTGAGAAGGGTTGCATTTTGGAGCATCAGATCTTCAGGTTTGCTGAGATGATTTTGCGTGACAGGTGCAGCATGTCGTATGACCTGGCATCAATTTTTCGTGGCAGGCGCAGTGCTTTAGACAGATGGAGTGGAAAAATCGCAAAACGCATTGGTACGAGTCTGTCAGCTCTGCACCCAACTTTCCATTTTTGAAGGAAGTCTCGCAGAATTCTTCGTTTTTGATGGCTTGCACTTCGAAAAATGAGGAAGTCTCGCAGAATTGCTTCGTTTCGGATGTTGTCAAGTTCAAAAAATGAAGATGTCTCGCAGAATTGTTCCGTTTCGGACGTTCTTATGTTCAAACATTACGGAAGTCTCGCAGAATTTCTTCAATTTTGATCTTGCAGATAGAAAGATTGATCTTGCAGATAGATAGATAGATAGATAGATAGATAGATAGATAGATAGATAGAGACATAGATAGAGACATAGATAGATAGAGAGATAGATAGATAGATAGATAGATAGGTAGGTAGATAGACAAACCGATGGATGGATGGATAGATAGATAGATAGATAGATACATAGATAGAGACATAGATAGAGACATAGGTAGATAGATAGATAGATAGATAGGTAGGTAGATAGCTGCATCGATAAGCTTGATCGCTCTCTCGATTAGAGAGGCTACGACTCGAATTAGATCGATGGATGAATCGGTCAGACTCGTCGATCGATATATCTAGGTGGAAGATAAATAGAGAGAGTCATAGATGGTAGTCGATATAATCGTGAAGAGACGAACTTCTAATATATGCTAGATCGCGAGAGTAGAGAGAGAGAGAGATAGATAGATAGATAGATAAATCAATGGATGGGTGGACAGATAGATAGATAGATAGATAGATAGATAGATAGATAGATAGATAGATAGATAGATAGATAGATAGAGAGAGAGAGATAGATAGATAGGTAGGTAGATAGATAGATAGATAGATAGATAGATAAATCGATGGATGGATGGATTGATAGATAGATAGATAGATAGATAAATCGATGGATGGATGGATTGATAGATAGATAGATAGATAGATACATAGATAGCTAGATACATAGGGAGATAGATAGACAGAGAGATAAATAGATAGACAGATAGATCAGTAGGTAGGTAGGTAGATAATCAGAGAAAGATAGATAAACAGAAAGAAAAAGAAAAAAAGAAAAAGAGAGAAAGAGAAAAAAGAGAGAGAGAGAGATCAAGCACCTTTCAGTCCATCAGTGGCTTCGCTCTGCCATCCCTGATTCACAACAACCAACCTCTCCTATAGGTTTCCTATTTTTGAAACTTCCGCCACCGCCTTGTGCGGTACTACTGGTAACCGCCTTTACATATTGTTGCTGAGGTAGTTATCCTTGGAAGGCATGTTGGGGTGCGTTTGGATGAAATATTCACTTTTTAAATTTGTTTGTTTTGCAGTCATTGCAGTCATTGCAGTCAAGCTTCTAGTCACCCTCATAGTCCAAGCAATTGGATGATAAGGTCGTTGAGCCCTTTCTTCGGGCAATTGGTGTGTGATCGCATCGTGAGCATGTGGAACGCAATGGGGCGGCCGCAACCTTTCTTCATCATCGAATTTGGAGGTGAAAGAATCAGCAGCTCACACGAGTAAATGCACGCATGCACATAATATACATCTGCAATGCAAAAACACAAAAACAATCAAGAACATATATCATATATGACATATACAGATACAAAGACACATTATGCTTAAATGAGTAGATCTCGCAGTTTATTCCAGCCTTGATCAGGTGGCACAGGTGTCCTGGCCCGAGACATTCTCCATCATGCGCGTAACTTGGTGCCTATGCCTGTGCATTCAAAGGATGTTGTGCTTTGTTTTTGCCTCAGTTGTTAAAGACAGCTGGGTTTTCAGGCAATGAACATGCTCAATTTTTTAGCTCCCTTCAGAAGTATGTCATCGGCGAGCGCTCGCCGGCCCTTCAGGCAGCACAGAGGCATGGTGGTTCACCAAGCTGCATGCTTCAAAAACAAAAGTATATAATGTACTGTATATTAAGATGGTGATGGAGAGAGAGAGAGAGAGAGAGAGAGAAATGTATTTTAATGTATATAGTCAGATGGCCCAAGTCTGGTAACATTGGAATTTTGAGTCTCGCTTACCATCTTTGAAGCATGGACTCTTTTCAATGCAGACGTTTGGGTAGAGCAATACGCTTTGTCAATTCAAGAGGCGGCCTCTTCATCCACGATGTATTCTGTCAATTCTGAAGGAAAACTGCTGCGGAATTTGTCCCCAGCAAACTTCGAATCTCCGATGCGGACGCCCGAACAGCTTCTGGTCTGCGGCAGCAACTGTTAGAGGAAGCAGATGGCATTTTGCAGCTTGGATCATGCCCTGACAGATCATACCCACAGACGCTGGCCATTCTCGATGTTTCCTCGTCGGAACTCATCTTCATTTTTCATCATTATTCTATAATATTGAGGTATTCGGTGGTGCTCTCCAACGAGCTTTTGGATGAGCCCCATAGATTGCAAAATGCATCAAGATGCAAGATGCAAGTCTTACTGGTATCTCCAAGGGGTTGAAGCGGTGTTGTCAGCCCTGAGGTTTGATCCAGTGCGTTTGCGCTTGTCTTGGCACGTACCAGCCTTAGCTTCCCAATTGATGGGCTTGGTATGAAGTCATGCCATTCATGCCATGGTCTACGATGTTGACAATGCGTCCGACAGGATTCAGTCTAGAGGTTGACAAAAAAGCACCTATGGGACGTGTGTTGATCTGGATGATATGGGGTCAGAAATTTGAGCAGCGTTTGTGCCAGGCAGGCAATCCCCCGGATGTGGAGCGCTGCAAGCTTTGTTCTGCCTACCGGGAGGCAAGTGGATGCGCGGATTTCGGAGGTTTGTTTTCTACTGATTCTTCGGGGCCTTATAGACAAGAGAGTTGCCTCTGCAGGCTTCCTTGTTGCCATATTTGTTCATTGACATTCATCACTGGACATAGCCCCTCCTCTGTAACCCCAAGTTTCCCAGCATTCGGAGGGGCATGCATCGTACATTTCAGAACTTTCAGAACGTTTGAAAGCAAACCATCCCTCTCTCCTTGATGTATTCCCGAGGCTCAACGGATTAGTGTAGTGTCCAAAACATGCGCTGAGGCCCATGTGCTCCACCGAATTGACGAGAAAGCCTTGTATGCCTTGCTTGGTGAGGATGCCCCTGAGCGTGAGAAGACATCATGCCTTTCATGATGGAGAGCCGTCTTCAAGTCAGACCAACAGACCAACGGATCAGCAGAACAAGATTTGTCACTGAACTATTGAGCTGGCTTCACAGCTGAACCCTGCTACCGTGCCTTGTAAGGATACCAACTCTAAGAGCCTATTGGAGTCCATCAGATGGGAAGGCAAATCTTTGCCTTGCGGCCTGCTGGACACCCAACTGCTGCAGCGCCAGGTGGGGCGGTTTGGGGCTACCGGTGAAGCGGAAATCTGACTTTCCATCC